TCTTGTTTCTTCTGATTCTATGTCACGACTTGGTGCATTTATAGACACTTGGCAAATAATTCCATCACCTACATTTACTTCTTACAGAAACGCGTTTCGGGCTTTCGCCCCTCTTCAGTCTGTTACGTCGATAGTTGTGACTTGTGTGTCCGTACTTCCCGCTCCCTTCCCCTCCCCTCTTTTTTCCCGACTTGACGGACTCCCCCGCATGCCTCGTAATTTGTAACATTACCCTTCTCCGAGTGTTGCACACAGCCTCGCCTGCGACTGTATAATGCGACTATATGCACCAAGTCGTGACATAGAATCAGAAGAAACTTCAGTTTTAATTAAATAAAACTGATCAATAAAATCAAATGAAATGATTGGAAATCTCACCTTCTAACGCAGCAACTTCCTTTGAAGTGGAATCAACCTTATTCATTTCAGTTTCTGTTATAAAAATATTGGAAAAATTGATAAAATTATACAATAAATATCAAATAACATATTAAATACAGCATACTTATTATTGGCTCAAGTTGAAAGAAGTTAAAAGAATAAAATAGCAATAAGTTAAGTCATAGAATATTCATCAATAACAATGATAGAAATCTTTACTAATCAGCACTCATTTTTATATTAATAAATACTTTTAATCTTTTTAAAAACCGTTTTCAGGTTCTTCCATAATAATATAGATTAAAAACAATTAAAAACATCAAGCTTCCTTTAAATTAGATTTAGATGATAAAATTCCTTTCAATGATAAATGTTATTGAAATTATTTAAAGGTCTTTTAAAAAGACCAAAAATACTCATTAAATTAAAAACTGGTGCTAGTTAGTAAAGATTTCTATTATTTGATGTTGACAACTTGCTTTTTAAATTTATCAGTAAAATTAAATTAATAGTTTTAACAAAGATTATTTAGATATAATATATGTAAATAATTATGAAATTATAACTATAGCATTTCAAATAAAAAAATTAAGTAATTAATTATACTTTTAAATTAAAGCAAAATATTAAATTCAAACAAATAATTTGGCATTTTCATAATTGTCATCAACCCCATCTGCTAAAGAATTGTTATTTTCAACATTACTAGTCATCTTCATGTTGACAGATGTCAACATCACCTTATATGTTTGAATGGAGTAATCAACTGCTAAGAATTCCTCCACAGTCATGAAATGGTCAATAGAACTACAGTCTTTAAGCTGTTCTAATTTTTCTCCGATATGAATATCTATCTGATCAGTGATGGCTTGAGAAATGGAGATATCTCTTTTTGTTAATGCAGTATGGTTCTATCTTTGCCAATTGCTTGCAGAATGAACTCTCCTACACTTTTGAACATGTTTAAGAAAAATCACAAAAGACAAGTCATCATTAATGCATTTAATAATCTATTTAACTTGGTGTTAATGATAATGTGTTTGAATCACTTTATAATGACTGCATCTAGTATCTGCAGCATTCCAGTACAGCTGGGTAATAGAAACTCGATCCTGCCATTGCTAAGGGTCTCTTCCACACGGCACATGGCATTATCAAAAAGCAAAATTACCTTTCTGTTATTTCTCTTCAAAGGGGTATTAAATTGTTTGAGACATTCTCCAAACTATATAGCAGTCATTCAATCTTTCTTATTTCAATCAAAAATTGACAAAGTGCTGCATTAAAGTTTTTGAAATGCCAATGTTTTCACTTCTCCCAATAACAATGACTTCTGTTTTGTCACTTCCATTACAACTGACATAAAAATGCAACTGAATTCTGTGTTTTGATCCTGGCTGCATACAGTAGAACAGAATACTTCCATCTGTATTTTACACATTCTATAGATCATATTCTTCAATGATGGTAGAGTCTTTGAAGGACTTCAGTGATGACATTTTCATCAATTTCTGCCATTTTACCATGCTTGGTTACTTAGAAAAGATCCATATGTTGTTTAAAACATGCTACCCATCCATTGTTAAAATTAAATCCAGGGATTTCCATCAGACTTCTAAATACAATGATCTAATGTTTATGAAGAGAGACATTTTTCCAGGAACTAAATTTAATATAAACAAACATGTTCCGCTTGCTTGATAAGCTTCCGTCACGTTTCAGAACAAAATTTGTTCTGTAACCTGAAAAAGGTTTATCAATCAGGCTGAAAACATTTGTTTTAATTAAATTTAGTTGCAGGAAAAGTGTGTAAGATGTGTTTAGTGTCTTATATACTGTGAAGTTCCAACTTAACTATTATTTATCAGATGTTTAATTGTCTGTTCTATTTTTGGTTAATTTTTCTTTGCCATTAAAGATACCAGCAATGTCCTAAGGATGATTGACTATAACAAAAAATGGTTAGCAAAAAACTGCTGACTAGATTCCTTAAATGTGTGAGATCTCTCTCTTATAGAAATCACTACCTTCTTCCCCATTATAACTTGAACCACTGATCATTAAAAGCAAATGCTAGTCAAGTTGAGTTTGTATAGAAAACTCATCAGGTTGAGTGTTAGACCTCTACTTGTAGTCGATTGTACAGAAAAGAATAACTACCATTTGGCTTTGATCCCCAAAAACTTGATTGACCATAGAAAAACTTTTGATCTCAAAGTCAATGGTTCATTCTCAGTCCCCTTCCCTGCAAACAATGTTCTGTTCTGTGCATTATGCCTAAGGAGAATGATAAAATTCTACTACAGGTTTAAACACAGTGGGCTGTTTACTGTATGTCTAACTACTTTTGACCACAATACCATACTGTATATATGTCCTTACAAAAGTATTTCATTTTATCTTGTGCTTGCCTTCTAAACTTCCAAAAATAAGTCAAATTTGTAATGAGTATACATGTGCAATCTTATGCGCAAATGCGAACATTTCATAGATTCAGACTTGGTAGTCCAATTAGTCCGAACAAAAGAAATGAATCTACATTTTGACTCGAATACTGATTCCAAATAAAGTATCACACGAGTCTGTAAGACTGACACACTTATTATTTATTAAATGACTTTCAATCAGACTAAAATAAATTTCATAATAGTATAAAAATTTCTCTCTACATAAGCATTTAAATCAATTCAAGTTTCATCTTTAATTAATACATATCATAAATCAGTACATAATAAAGATTTGAAGACCATTAAATTAAATATTCTCTTAAAAATTTACTTTTTATAAGATATAAATATTTTTAAAAATGTAATAT